TCAGCTCATTCAGCTCTTGCTGAATTTGGAAAGCCTTTGTCTGAGCTTGGGCCACTTCAACATTCTGGATCATCAGTTGATCCTCAGCCTCTTGGAATTTAGCTCTTTGGGCTTCAGCAGCAGCAGCAGCCTCTGAGAGTTGGACATCTTTGGCCAGGAGCAGCTCTTCAGCAGCCATTCGGCTGGCTTCAAGAGCCTCTAGACGTTGCTGCACTTCAGCTTGTGCAGCAGCCCCTTCCTGAATTCGGCTCTCAACAGCAGCCTTGAATTTGGAGACGTCCACTCCCATATGCTCCTGGAGGAATTTTTCCCCTTCCATCAGTGGGGGAAAAACTTCCTTCTCCATAGCGTCGCAGAAGGTTTTGAGGGCTTCAGCAGCTCTTTTCTCATACTCCTCACCCTTCTGCTGCTTCTCTTCAGCTGCTGCTTGCTTCAGCTTAGTAAGCTTTAATTCCTCTTCAGCCACCTTCTTGTCGTGCACAGCAGCGTCTACCCTATCTTGTAGGGTATCTATCAGCTCTACAGTGAGAGTCTGATTGTGCACGAACTGAAAACAGGAAGACAAAAAAAAATAAAAAAAAAAATATAAAGAGCTGAATTTCAGAGGAAATGAAGACAAGGAAAATTACCTGCATCATCAGCAGTTGGTTAGACCTGGCTGGGTCAGGAACTGATCTGCTGGATTCGCCCATCCCAGCAGTGGCCTTCAGCGACCAGATCCTTGCCCTGTCTACTTCGGACATGCCAGCAAAATCGCCGAAGTAGGCTGCAGCTCCTTCTCGGTTCTGACCCCATATGAGGTCCCAGATGTGGTCTGGGATTGGAATTCGGGGGGCCGAGAAACCCATTTCTCCAGAATGCAGAGTCTGGAAAGAAGGGAAGGATGACGATGGAGCTTGATTAGCTTTGGTTGTCTCAGCATCATCCTTCTCAGAGGAGTCAATTACTATGACCTCCTCTTCTTCAGGGGTGAGGACGAAAGCCTCAACCTCTCTTGCGATGTCTGCCGTGAAGCCCTCAGCACTGGACATCACGGCATCCTTATTTTCGTGCTCAGCAGCACTTTTCTTGATTTCTTCTTGGACCCCTCCCTTAGATTCGGGAGTTCTCTGATCCACCTCCATCTCAGGAGGTGGCGGAGGGGTCTTTTGAGGTGATTGGGTAGGTGGCTGGGGAACCCTCGGCGATCCGTTGCCTTCCTCGGGTTCCCTTATTGCGACGCCGATGGTCATCGGCCTCCGCTGAAAGTCATGAGGGTCGATGATGGCCATCCTTCGGCGCCTTTTCAGAAGGGGCTGCTCGTCCATATCTGAGTCTGAAGACTCTTGTATTTGGTCTTCGGGACGAACAGGAGCTTTGCCTTCTCTGTGTCTATTACTCTCTTCAGACTGTAACAGACAGGGGGGAGGAAGAATGTGAGTAAAAAAAAAAAAAAAAAAAAAACAAAAAAAAAAAAAAGAAAGAAAAGAAAAAAGAAAAAGTTAAGTCTGAAAGCTCACCGAGGTCTTCAGCAAAGCCTCGTCTTCTTCAGCTGCTCTAGCTGCAGCTTCAACTTCAGCAGCTCTGGAGGACCCTTCTCCTCCTTCGCAAGCTTCGAGTACCCGTGAAACCTCTTCGGCTGTGCGGGCAGCTTCAGCTTCTTCGTCCAGCAGCTGAAACCAAGGGTCTCTCTTCTTCCACCAAGGCTTCTGCCTCTGATACAGAGCAACAGCCTCAATTTGGAAGTGGGAAGAGTCTAGATGAACTTCCCTATGCCTCGGCTCAGTGATAGACGGGGCCCGTTCAGTTACAACTCGTTCTCGGTTGACACCAAGACGAGCGTAGTTAATGCCAACGTTGGTCTCGTCCCGCTCTGAAAAAAGGAAAGGGGAAAGGTTAGCTCAGATAGATTGGCACAGCATAAAAAAGCGAAGCGAGAGAAGAAAAAGAGATAATTAAAAAGCCTCGGCCCCAGCCGAAGAAGCTTACCATCCTTAAACTTTCGGCTGAGGCCAACAGCTGCTAGCATGTTCTCTTGGAAAACGTAATGCGTATCGGGGAGCCAAGTCTCCGGGATATGCTGCATTCGGCCACTGCCCCCCCGGTTCGGCAGCTTGCCGAAGATATGTTGCTGATCCAGGTTCGGATCCGCCCCGTTATCTGCGGGGGGACCTAGACTTCCCATTTCGGGATCAGGCTCAGCAAGGTACCGGGGAGCGCTGAAGACGCAAGGGTGGCCCGGATCTGTGGGTGCCCTAACCCAAATCCATTGACCTCTCCAGTCCTTGTCTGAAGAGTCGTTTGGCCACATGGTTAGGTATTGGGGCCGGGACTCAATCCGGTACCACCCAGAACCATGGCTTCCGTGCCCACTTTGAATATTTGGCACTAGCCGATGGAGCTTTTTGAAGCAGTGCAGGTTCGGCACGTACTTGAAGAACTTGCAGACCCATAAGTATGTCATCACCCTTTGGATGCTGGTGGGGGTTAACTGACATAGAGAGATGTTGTAATGGATCAGCAAGTCTCGGACGAATACGTCCAAAGGGAATCTCAGCCCGTACTGAAGCTGTCTCGTGTACACCCCCACATACCCCGGGGGTGGACGATGGATTCTATCGGATGCCGAGGGCATTCGGCACCAGTACCCATCAGCTTCAAAAATGCCGTAGTGCAACTCAATTTGCTCGGCAAATCGATATTGATCGGCATTCTCCACCCACCATGAATAGGGGCGGTTCTTTATCATGGCCGAGGCAACTTCGGCATTCTCCCATTCAGAAAACCCGGGGAGGATATCCCAAAGGACAGCGGGAACTTCATCATCCCGTCCAGAAGCGCTCGGCTCCTCCGTTCTCTGAGGAGGAGCCGAGGAAAGGGGAGTCGCCCTAATCCCTTCAGCAGGGTCAGACTCTGGCCTTTGACCATTCCAGGTCCCAATCCTGTTCCTAGGATCGGGAATCGGCCTTGCTCTTCTTGGAGCACGGGCTCTACCTCTAACTCCTCTTGCCATTGATTATTTCGAAGAAAAAAGTCGAAAGAAAAGGGGAAGGAGTTCGAATTCGAAGAAAAATAAACTGAAATCAAAGGAATTTACCTTAATCTGAAGCGAAAGTTGCCGATTTACGAGTTCGTAGTGGCAAGTCTCAGTTTCTAAGCTTAATGCTCGGGGAATTTGCGAAGTTTTGATGCGGGTTCTTGGTTTCTCTCTCGAGAATTCTGGGTTTGTGTTGGTGAATAAGTGAGGAGAAATGACGCGCCTCTGTTTATATCTCCAGGTACGGGATACGAGGAGTCTGCGTTTTAATTTCTCTTAAGTACTCCACTAAGTAACCATTAAACACATGATCTTGTGATTAAACTGCCCATTATCCGTCCAACTTCCACAATCATTAACCGTTGTTATCTCATTAATTACGGTTTAAATTCAAATTTTTGGATTAATTAAATCATTTACTTCCCTCCTTTTCTGAATTAAATCAAACCCGACCCGTCATCCTTCCAAATCGGGTCTGGGGGGCAAGTTGTTTGGGTCCAATTTAGTCCAAATTGGGCCTAAGCACTAAATGATCCAATTAAAAGCCCAAGGTCAAGGTTCAACTCTCCAATTGTGCAAAAGTCAAAGGTCAGCCCACAAAGCAAGCCAATTGGGCTAAGGCCCAACCTCTCCATATATGATGAGGTATAAAAGCTATCATATTGTCTCATTCAAAGGGGCATTCGCATTCACATTCACATTGATATTCATATTCTGATTTCATTGATAGATTCATATTCCATAAAAGCCTCAAGCTACAAACTCTCTTGCATAGTGTCTTCTTCTTACACATTGTACTGACTTTAGCATCGGAGGGGCCTTCCTCGGCAACACCCCCGAGGCTAGTTTACGTGTGTTTACTGTGCAGGAAACCTTCGGCCCAACATAACTTGGACCGAATCCAGTCTTCTCCATTTCAGCGGACCTTCGGCAAGGTCCCATTGTTTTCACCCGAAACAACACCTAACTTCAAAACAATAAGTAAAAAACATACATTTTCTTTTGCTTTTCAATGATGTTACCAAGTATATGGTTCATAATGTTATGTACATTGATAAATTGGGAGGAGTTTAGTGTAAATGCCGATAAGCGGCCGCCGGTGAAGGTAGGGAACATTAGCACGGTTGATGATGCAAAGAACTTCAAGATGTATTATGGGCAAACCTTCAAAGTTATCAAAAATGTTATTGATGGAAAGAGTTATCTTCTTATACAGGTATAGTTTTGATATTTTTCTTGTTATATATAATTATCTGTGTTACTATATATTAAGTGTAGTTTCTTTCAAAAAAAAAAAAATATATATCAAGTGTAGTTTTTACTTGTACTTCCTTCTTAGTTGGAAAGTAGAGTCAGTGATAAGAGGATTGGAAGTTTATATTAAAAACGGTAAGATCCAGACATCCAGTCAGTGTTACTAGTCTTATGACTTTATATGGGGTGTGGATCCAAAGTTTATACATAAGAGTAATAGAAAACAAATTTGTACATGTTCTATTCAGGGTCGAATCGTGTTGGGCTTATAATATGTCGTAGTATTACCAAAACGAAATCAATTTGATGAAAAAAATAAGTGATCTCTATCGAATTCCTTGAAGGGATAAACTTAGTAAACAATAGCAAAAATATAGGAGGAGCAACTCGAGTCAACAGGTTGGGTTAAGATCAAGTACGGGCTAGATTATATTGTCAAATTCACCTCTCCAAATAGAAAAAGGAAAACCATGAACCAAACAATCCAGGTCCATACTAGGAAGTAGGAACTAAAAGTCAATGTTATTGTTAGCCATATTTCAATTATTACTCGTATAAGTAAGGGACATTTCACGTAGTATAAATTAAAAAAGCTTCAAAAGCTAGTCAATACTCATAGTAACTAACTTGCTAAGTGTATCCGAGTATATCTAAGAAATTTTGTTAGATACGAATTACTTAGTTTAGGTGTTCAATCAAAATCTTGCTTGCTTAAAACAATACGAGTAAATGAAAGTTGGATTCAACAATAATGGTCTGAACGAGATCTAATCTGGCCCGTAAACGATTAGGACCATCTGTTGCATTATCGCAAAAGTAGAAGCATCGTTTGGAAGTTTTGAAAAATCAAACACCAACGTCACCATTTTTGTGTTGATTTTGCATAGGGAACTGTCTCTCATCAATAATTCAACAAAATTGCAGTAACTAAAATAGCAATTACAATAAAAAAAAATAAAAAAAAAATATAGCAATTACAGTACTCATTTGTTAGTTTCCTATTCCCATTTCTTATGAAAAAAAAAAATACAAATTAACATCCCAATATCCCATTACGAATATGCATCAATTGGTCTTATTAAATAGGAATAATACGTTAGAAACGTTAATGTGTGATATTCTCTTTTGTTCTTTATATTTTTCTCGTAAGCTCATTTCTTTTTGTTCTTTACACTTCTACTTTATTTTTTTCGAGGTATTTATCACGGCCATCGATTATTCCAATTTCATACTTTTATTACATGTTGTCCACTTTTCATTCCTTTTTTTTTTTCTTGCATTAATCAAAATCACAAGAACACTTCATAATAAAGCTATTGTAAAACTCGAACACAAACAAGTTGTTCACGAGTCATACATGAAAGTGTACTATTCAACTTTTGCTCATTACTAAACAAGCTTGAAAATTTTATTCTTCAACTGCGTATTGTCTTAGCTTAGAAGTATGGACCAATTAATTTAGCATTACGTTGTTAATTATACATTATAGACCTCACAGACTCACAGTACATGAGAGTAATAGACTAGTAAACATCAATAATAAAAAGAACAAATCTTTGTAAAATGGATATCTACTTATCTAGTTGTTTGTTGTATAACATATTCAGATATTCTACTATGCAATTACAGAATAACTCAAAGATGGCAGGAAGGACAAAATACTGCACAAATCGAATGAAATCGTTCGTAGTCCCATTGTCGAACTACACACTTGATACTGATACGTTTCCAGGCGTTCCAGGTAAAATATACTTGTAACAAATTTCTATCAGCCAAAATTTGGAAAGTAGGCATCTAATGAGTTGCACACTATTTTCTGTGATTTCTTGCAGTTTCTTTCCTTGAGGTAATAATCATTCTCTAGCCATTTTCGACAATTCTGCATAACACCGCCATTCCAGTAAGTACTGCATAAGTAAAAAATTCATTGTTTCAACGACATCCATGTTTTATATATATGGTTGTATCGGCTTCTAGGTATGCTTGGTACTTGTAAAGGTATAACATCAAATACTATGGCATCTGCGTGCTTAATGAAGTTATACGAAGGAGGAGAACTTACAATGGTAAATAAAAGTGAGACAGAACAACTTTCTCAATTTTCGGCTTACTTTACTAGTGCCACTGATCAACCACCAGCCTGCAATATTGCTACATTTCAAGCATCATCCGAAGACTTGCCTCTTCAGGTTGGCCGATTTTATAGTATATAGATTTATCCCTTACTTATTTGTCGGCCTTGTTCTCTTCAACTGATTTTTATTGAACTGCGATCTCTGATTGATTCACTTGCATCTTTATCAGAAGCAACTACTTATTTTACTAGTCGAAAATGAATTTGTTTTCCAGTTGAAGAGAACACAGCGTTCACAGTAGAAAAGTTGATTGACAATTTACAAGTGTCTCCTCTCGTTTGAAAGCCAAATGTATTACACTTCTTAATTTCTAAATATCTGAGTATTAATTGCTAGCGTGCAGAGTGGATCAAATATATAGCAGTGTTCGCGAATTTGGAAGTCAGAGCAAACTCTGTATATGATGCAGTAAGTATTATTAAAACTCTTTGCTAAGAAGTATGGATCCAATTGTTTGATAGAAGAGTAACCTTTTATGAATAAAGAATGCCTGCTTTTTCTGTAAGCCTCAACTACATGTTATTTCGCATGCTGAAGCTCGAAAACTTCTCTATTTTAAAGATTAAGTGAAGAAAAAACTAGGTTAAGCAAAATCAAGTTTTGGTTTTCAACTTGAATATCAACTCTATGTCATCTTTTATGATTAGGCCAATGTTCGCGATAACTGAAAAGAGACTAACTAGTTAATACATTCATGATCCTGTAGTTTTATTTAACTTATACATGTATATTATGTGTGTAGGTTAAGCAAAATTATTTATGCTTGGCAAACATGTCTACAAACAGAAATTCGTCGCTCAAACCTGTTGTTGCTTGGATGCGCTATGAAGATGTAAGTATGCCTCAAAATTTTTGAAGTTAATACACATACAACCTTCATACTAAAAACTTACAATGCTAGTGTTGAGTTTAATTTTGGTGATTTTTTTTACTCATTTTTTGCAGGGACAATGGTCTTTTACAACAGAAGCCTACAAAGCAAAGGTACATTCATCTATTTGTTTATAATGATATGTAAAAGAATGCACCAACATTATATGATGAAACCAGTGATTTTGCTACAAAATGAGTAAACATTAGGGCTTGATCATTGATTAATTTGAATCACAAAATAGAGTTAAAAAAGTCAAAAGCTTTTTATATATCGGCGCAATTTCTATTATAATACTTGTCTTCTTATCTGAATTTGGGGTGGTGCAGTTTGTGCAAGATGCAGGTGGAGAAAATGTTGATGAAACTATCAACAAAATGTCCTATAACATATCAATTCCTGATGACCTTGATCAACTTCATGCTATCTTATGTGTGAGTTTATTACTCCATATTTAACTATTATATTATTGCAATTTGCTAGGTCCATGTGTTCTATTCGGCTGATTTTCACCTATATGAACATACCTTATCTTATCTAAACTTACTTGAACTTATTAAATGCATTAGATTTATTACAAGTTTTTTTGCTTTAAAAAAAAAAAAAGATTTATCGTAATTAGTTTTTGATTATTTCATAAGCATCATATCAAATTATCAACCCCATAATCATAATGTTATTGGACCATGCTTTATAACCATATCATATCCTATATATGTTGTAGTCGGTGGATGCAGTGATTGATGAAACATACCCTAATGATCCTGCAACATACAACTTGACTACATTCCTCCAAAATGTTGGTGTTGAAGATAAATCTTGCTTTGCTTTCTTAACAAATGAAAGCGTTTGGAGATATGACAAGAGAATGCAAATGAATACCACTTCACTTGGTGAGCATGCATCACAATACATATTCTTCCTCAACCTTTAATATCTTTATTACTACGTATTATAAAATAGAGTTGATCATGATTTAGGCCATACTTTTGTGTCAAAGTTGTTAAAGATATGGTAAATCAAAACACTATCCGTTTCCTTCTATTTTTGTTTTCGTCGTAGATTTCAAATTAGTTAGTGGCTATATATGTATATCAAAATTAAACTCTTGACATTCATATTTTGTTTATTATTCTCAAGATTGGTACGACGGCGCTGTGTCTCAACCACAGCTAGTACTGGCAGACTTGATGGAAGCAATCTTTCCTACAGGAAACTACACAAGTACTTATTTTAGAAACCTTGCTAAGGTAATTTTTCTTCTAGTTGATTTTTCCTCTTTGTTTTTTTTTAAAAAAAAAACAAAAGTTTTAGTAATATTAACAATTATATTAATTATTTGAGTAATTTTCTTATTCGTAATTTTACAGGGAGAACAGATTATTGACATCACAACTTATGAGAAATGTAATAGTGATAGTGCTTTGGAACCAACAATCATACCTTGTAATAGTAAAATTTACTAGTATTATTGATATTACTATTATCAATTTAAACGTACCATAAGTGTTTATGTTAATGACTAATAAAATATAATTTATTTCTGTAAAGTTTTAAGTATGAATTCGATTTTGATCTTGCCTAATATATGTCTCTTGTAATCTTGTTGCTTTAATCAGAGGCTTTAGTGCTTTTCACAAATAAGGAACAATTGCAACCATGAAAGGGATATGGATCCACTATTCCACTGAGGTTACACCCTTTCAACAAGTTATGAGATCGTAGACTCACATATGGTCTTACATTGTTTAGGATTCGAGAATAATGGTACGATGAACGTTCCCATGAGTTAATCCATATTTAGTTCACCTTATTTTTACTTATTTCAAATAAGAAGAATTAGGTCAAATCAGAGTAGATCAAAAAATTTAAGTTTAGATCAGATCAAATCAAAATCAATAAGTTCTAACATACTTTATTGTTTTATGTGTGGTTTTTTATCGTTAAACCTCTTTATTTTCTTAATTAAATAAATTATGAAATTTACATATTATTAGTTTTTTTTTGGTTCTTCAATTGTTATTATTTTTTTTTTTTTTTAAAAAAAAAAAAACATTAGCTTAAAAAGTTCAAAACATATTTTGGGTTACATACAAGCACTAAAATGCGCAGCTATAGGTTTTATGTATGATCGAGCAAATAAAAATAAATGAGATTAATTTGTTATGGTAGATTATTATATTGCTAAATATGTATGTATAAAATTAAGGAAAATGATATACATAGCCCTTAGGGCTATATATAAGCATTAAATTTACACTTGAAAATCGTAAAAAGTTAAGAAATCATGAAAATATAAACATTATTTACATTGATTTACGCGTATTTTTTGTCATGAATTCCTAATTTTATACAATTTCCAAGAGTATATTTAATGCTTATATATAGCCCTTAGGGCTACATATAACATTACCCAAAAATTAATTATTAGATTTTCAAGTTAACAGATGTGATTAACTCTTTTTAACAAAATATTTTAGACATAAGATGTGTTATTGTAGTAGTAGTTTCATTAAACCTTTGAGTTTTAATATATACGAAGTATATAGATTAGATTAATCATTTATGGCACAAGAGCTAAGCTAGTTTGTGATAATGACAAAACAAAATCGTTTTCACTTAAATCATTATCATCATTTTCTTACAAAACATCATCCTCTTTTGTAACCTACAATTTAAGACCACCAAATTGTAAGTAGCTTCTTCCATACAAAAGTTCAATAGATAAAAACTTTATTTCATTTAAGAAAAAAAATCTAACGTGAGAAAAACTCCCTCTACTTTTGTAACTGCCTCAATTTTCAAAAGCGATCATTTTATTTAAGTGCTTCATTTCTAAATTTAGAAGCCTCACTCACATTATAAATACTATATTATCTCTCTTTCTTATCCAACTTCAGTATCATTTTATAATATTTCTTTCTTTCGCATTATACTTAATGGTCCCCCATTTATATTTTTTTAATTTTCTTATTCATAACTATTGGCGGATTCAGGATTTCCAATCAGGGGTAGCACAATAGCGCATAGTTGTTTAAGAATATTTAGAACTAAAATCGAACTTTATTTTAGGGATTCAATCTATAAATATAACTAAAGTAACAACCGCTGACATCATCCCCTATTTAAATTTTACACATTTCAAGTTGTGGTAAAAAAAATTTCCCACCTAAATTAATTGCTGACATCATATTCTTATTTTTATTTTTACTTATTTTTTTGAAACCTTTTTATTTTTTACCTTAAATTATTAAATTATATATACAGAGTATATATTTTTTAAGAAAATTATTATATTATGTTATTTTCTATTTATTATTTTTTTTTATATTATTATGGATTTATAAAAACTATCTGGCTTCCAAATATAATTACTCCCGGTTTAAGAGTACTCTGTATTTTATAATTTGGTTAAATTTTTACTATGTTCAAAATTATTTATATCAAGATACCATTGCAATTAATGGTTATGTTTCTATAATTTTTTTTCACATATGAGGTACATGTATAAAATGTATTTATTTCAAAGAATTTATGTTGTCATCACACGAGGCTAATTCAGCTTATAACTATAGATCGTCGTGCATGGCACGGGATCTAACCTATTTCATATTATAAAAATCCCCCAAAAATGATTAGCAAAATAACAAACTAAATGATTTTTTGTGATGCAATAATGCAATGTATTAGTACATTGTTGTGCTCCTTATTTATTGTCAATTTGATTTTGGACATGCAATTCATTAAACAAACAATTGTTGTTGGCAACGCAACTCATACATTAGATGAAGAACTTATTCAAAAATTAAGAAAAAATTATCAGGAATAATCCCAACTTGCTTGATTCGCTCAAAATAATCCCAACTTTGATTATCTTTTAATAATCCGAACTTTAATATGAGTTTGCTTCTAACGGTCCCAACCAGTCATAAAACTTGTTATAACAAGTCACTTGATTCATGTCATGACTTGATTGGTCAAAAAATTTAAAAAAATATATTGAAAATTAAAAAAAAAATATTGTAGCTATAAAGTTAAAAAAAATATGAAAAAACTTTAAATTAATTTTTTATTTTTTAAAAAAAAGTCCACCAATGGCCCAACCATCCCAGCCACTAGCAGCTGACCCCAATCTCGGTTGTCGACACCTGACCCATTCCCCGGCTAGTAGAGCTCACCGACGCAAGCAACCCCTCCCCCGCCGACGAATCCCACCTTACCCCTTTATCCTTCTTCCTCTACTCCCAAATTCCCCACCCTAATGCGCCGCCCTCTTCCCATTTCCCTCACCCCAATCCACCGCATAAATGCCCCTCCCTCCCTAAAAACGACCCCCGTCCCCTATTCGTTGGCCCCCCCAAAACCGCCAGAAAATCATAACTTCCCAAAAAATCCAACAGAAGCCTACCTTAAACAACCTGTAACACCCCAATAATTCTCCCTTTTATAAACCACTTACTTTAAATAAAATAGTGGAGAACCATTGACGTGCTACCGCCACGTGTTAAAACGTTAAGGCTTTATCAAAGTATTGCTGCGGAAATCCAACTTACATCTTAAAATAATATAATTTTAAAAACCTATAAGTCAAAGCTTACAAATTGGAACCATAAAGGCCCTTATTAAAACTAAACCAATATTCCAAAATCCCAAAACATAATTAAAATAGTAAAACATAAATAAGTTCAACACAAGGAACGAATACTCTCAATCACACCAATCCCTTGACAATGCGTATGTCAAATTCCCGAACTTCACATCATCAAGCTAACATGTGCAATACTGCTCCCCAATAATACAAGTGTAATAATTGGATCATCACAGGCTCATTGAAATGCGAAGGCCATGACCAAAAGAAAACACACAAAAGCACGCAATCAGCAAAGCTGTGTACATACAAGCTACAACGTACCAAACCTAGCATGCTCAACTAATTAAAGTAAATAAACATACAACACGAATTCATTAATCAAGACTCCACACTTAAACAATTCAATCGACTCAACATATTTGCTAATCAATTCCAAACACTTGACTCTTTATATTTAATTTAATTAATTTAATTTGGAGTAAGCAATAGACGAGGTTGTCCAATCCACCAAATCATTTTGGTCCCAAATGATCATTTAAAATAAAATTTTAGCGCGATGCACGAATGGGCGCGACTCCATTCTCACAACGTTAGTCTAGGATCCCATCTAACTTTCATTATAAAATAAAATGTAAATACCAAAAGAAAAGAGGACATGTTAATCAAACAAGCCTCGGAAAGCCACGGGCTACCACCGTGTACCCCAACCCATAATTGTCAATACTCCAGAAGTGCACGCTTTCCAGAGTTTTATTGTTCATCCATGTTTCACTTTACGTGATTACAATTTTAATTGATAGCTGACTCAATCAAATAGACCATACATAAAAATCATACATCAATTTACTTTTAATCTTATTTAGGACAATGGTGATCACATCACAAATTGACCTTTAATTTCATTAAACTTCCAAATTATCCAAATTGTTGAACATAGTCAAGCCACCTAGCCATTTCGGCTTAATCCACTTTTACTCAACATACTAACAAGTCATGCTCGAGTAATAAATAAAATAATAATAACCTTGTGGAATAATTAATAAATTCATTCCACTTAAACCATTCAATTCCAATCCTTTAATAATCCAAATGTGGTTAACAAACCAATCCAATAAAAATATGATTGTATCAACATTCCATACAAATAATTAATCCAATATAATTCAACATGCTTGCATCCATAATTCCATACAAATATAATCAATTCACCAAAACATGTCTCATAAACATAAGCACATGAATTAATTAAATGTATAACCAAACAATTTTCATCCAAGTGTTCTCTAATCATGAAACTAAGTTCTTTTCTTTAGTACCTAAACATGATACTACTTACAACGAAGTAGACATGTACGTACCTCGTATAAACAATCCTTTGTGCCACTTTTAATCACTTAAAAGTCTCCTAAGAAATAATCACTTCCTAGAAAACAAGCAACAACAATAAATTAATACTTAACCAAATTTCAGCATTATAATTTAGATTAAAATTCCTTAAAACTTCATTAAAAACATGTTTTTATGCATAATTAATCAATAGAAATCCACTAGGAACAAAAGCCCCAATTTAATTAGTCATAAGAACCCTAAAATCCCAATTTAAATAAATTGAAACCCTAGGTTTTAAAATTATAAAATCTGAAAATTTATAGCATAATTAAAATCTGAAATTATTAGTTTACAACATCAAAAACATGATTTTGATACTAAAAATATAATCTTTATACTACAAAATCAAAACCCAAAACAATTTAATAATAAACAAGATAGTAGAGCAAAAATATAAGGAGGAGGAAAGGGGCAGCCATGGTGGGCCACGGCTGGGCCGGCAGGGTCGTCGGCAGCGGCGACAGGGGGGTGCGCCGAAGTGGCTGGGCGGCAGTGGTGGTGAGTAGTGAAACTCACGTAGGAAAAGAGGAAAGGGAAAAAAGAAAAAAAAAAGAAAAAGGGAAAAGAAGGGGAAAAAATAAAAGAAAAGAAAAATAAAGGGAAAATAAGAGAAATAAAATAAAGAGAAGAGAGTTTACTAACCTTTTTGTGTGGGGAAAAATTTGGGGATGTATTGGGTATTTATAGGAGAGAGAGTGGTGTAGGGTAAGTAGTAAAATTGGGCCTCAAAATTAATGGGTCAATTAAGTAAGTAAAGTGGGTTAGGTTTGTTTGTTGGACATAAATTATAGAATGAAGGTATGTATAAAAATTTGTACCAAAATAATTTTCGACCCAAAATTAAAAATTGAAACTTTTGAAATTAAATTCCGGAAAAATACAAATAAATATTATAAATAATATATAATTTCATTTATAATATATTTAAAAATATGGGGGATTACACAACCCATAAAATCAAACGGAAAGGGGAGAGGAGTGGGGTCCCTTGTTTTCAACGCAGCTATTCCCGCTCTGAGCTTCGCCGGTGGGGGAGAGGGAAATGATCCAGTGGGATGGCGTCGGCCAACCAGGCAGTCAGCTAGGCACCGGCAGTCAAAGGTGGGGTCAGGCTGGGTTGAGGGCGACAGTTGTTGCATTGGTGGGTTTTAAAAAAAATATTTTAGAGTTACTTAAATAAACAGTTAATGAATTAAATCAATAATATAAATTAAAATTAAACTTAAACATAATTTTGATCAATCATGTAATGACACGTGTACTTTTTTTAAAAAATAATTACCTATTCAACAGATTACTGGTCAGTGGTCACTCGGGACCATTGAAAGCAAATTCATACTACCTCCGGTCCACTTTACCCGCAACTTTGAGGGGGTTTGCGGAGGTCGAGGCAAAACTTTTAAGGGGGGATTTAGAAAAAGTAAGGGTATGTAATTAGAAGTTAAAATTGGAGGGAATTATTGTGGTCCCCTTTTATTGACTTTATAAAGGGGTTGTACTTTAGTGAAAAGAGTGGGAAATTCCCACCTTTTTTTTTCCTGGCAGCTTACTAAGGGGCGAAATTTTTTGGGAAGGTTTTTTCCCCTCCCAAATTTTCCCCAAAATTCAAAAAGGCAGCAAATTTCCCCAAAGTTTCAAATTTTAGCATTAATTTCAAACAAAAGGCCCTATATAAAAGCAGGACATCCCTTTCAATTCTCCATTTTCAAAAGCAAAGTTTTAGGAGAATTGGGGAGGGGGGAGGGGGGATGAATAATTCAAGTACGAACATCACAGAAATTAGTTAATTAAGTACAAAATACAGGCAACCCTAAAAAATTACAAGCCATCTAAACTTAGATTAGTTTAATCCTAAATCCTAGAGCAACGTTAGTAGATGCAGCTTCAATAATAGGCTCTGTTGACTACCGTCCAAAAACCACCAGCCGCCACTTCATCACCAAAAAGCAATCCTGAAATTTTTTCAAAAGAGAAGGGACTCATGGGAGAGTTCATACACGAACTTATGGATGAGTTAATTCAACAAGACCAGCTCATGGAAGATGAGTTAATCAAACAACAATTCAACCAAGAAGAGTATGAAGGGTCATCTGATTCAAAGCATGAACAACAACAATATGATGAAGATAATGATGCTGATGGGTATGATGTAGATGATGATGCAAACCAAGAAGAGTTACAACACAATTGCAGACCAACAAGAGAGATGATAGTGGAACAGAAAAGAGCAATTGTTGAGGAGATTATGTTGCACATGGAGGGGGACTCACTACCAAGAGGCTTTTTAGCCAATTTGGCAAGAAAACATTCAGTGCACAAATCTACAACAACAAGATGGTTTCAGGTAATTAAACAATCTCTAGCTGAAGGTACTGTTGTTGATGTTAATACCAAAAAATTAGGCAGGACAGGACGCAAAGAAAAACAATACACAGATGAGTTTCTGACATCTGTACCATTGTACAAAAGAACAACTGAAAGGGGATATGCTGGAGCACTGAAAATACCCAAAACAGCATTGCATAGGCTAAGGCAGCAAGGCAGGCTGAGAACACACACAAGCACAAATCATCCAGCATTGACAGAGAAGCACAAAGTGGCTAGACTTAAATGGGTTTTAAGTCTAATTAATCCTGTTCCAGCAATTGGGGACCCAACTTTTACTGATATGCAGCAATGGATACATTTAGATTAGATGAAAAATGGTTCTACATCAATCCAGAAACAAGAACCTTCTACCTACTTTTAACAGAAGATGATCCATACAGGGCTCAACAATCAAAGAGGTTCAAAATCAAAGCAATGTTATGGGAATGATAGGTAAACCATTGTTTGATGCTGAAAACAACATGATACATGATGGAAAGTATGGTCTTTTTCCTTTTGTAAAATATGAAAGGGTCAAAAAGAAAAGCAAGAATAGAGATGCAGGGACTCTAGAGACAAAGGCAATTCAAAGTGTCACAAAAGAATGCATAAGGGAAATGCTGCTAACACATGTTATCCCAACAATCTATGCAAAACGGCCAGAGCAGTTACCAAAGGACATAATCATCCAATGGGATAATGCCAGGCCTCCTCAGGTACCAAAGGATGAAGAATTTCAAGTAACTTTTCATGCACATGATTTCAACATTCAATTCATATTCCAACCAGCTCAGTCACCAGAAACAAATGTTTTAGATTTAGGGTTGTTTAGTGTCATTCAATCATTACAATATCAATCTTTTCCAAGGAATCTAGATGACTTAATCAAGGAAGTGGCAAGAGCATTTCAAGAATTTGATCCTACACTAAATAAGTACACATGGATCACACTTCAATCCTGCCTTATTAAGATTCTGGAAAAGCAAGGGGGTAATAACTTCACTCCCCCACACATGAAGAAGAGGACAGCCAAGGGCTACTACCTCAACTACTTCAAGTAGACAGGGAGCTAATAGGTCAAGTTGTTCATTTTTTAGACACAGTCACAATTACAGGAGATGATGAAGGCCACATGGAAGTAGATGCAGACTGATGACTGTGTCTTAGTTTAGGAAGCCAACTATTAAGGGACTCATAATTGACTGCCACATATAACCTTTTCTTATTCAAACAACTTTTTGTGTTAGATTATGTGTAGGTTATGTGTACTTTTGGTGGATACAACTTTTTTATTTTTTAGGCAGTCATGTAATTAGTCAAGTACAAATATTTTGATTAACAAAAAGTTACATGTTTCACTCTATTTTTGTTTCATTTTTAGAGCCTATTATTTCCATAAGAAGGGTTATGATTTCAGTCAAAGCTTTAGTGAGTGTTGGTACCTCAACACAAACCTTTTTGACAATGTTTATGGAGCATCCAAACCACCCAAGTAGCTATCAGATGAGTCCCATCATCATATGGAAAACCAAAAGGGGTGTGCATTATCAAAAAAGGGACTCAATGCATGAAAGGCACAAGACAAGGGTCACAACAGGGGACTCATTCTCAACAACCAAAAACAACCACACAACTGTGAATTCATGCATCAACTAATGAACTAATCCAACAACTGCAAAACACATCAAATCTAGTGCTACCAAACAACATCCCATAACATAAATCAAATGGGTCCAAACAGCAAACTTGCCCCAAAACACCAGTCTTTTAACAACCACATACAACCATCTATCAACCACCATCATCCCAAAACAGAGCTGCTAACACAATTACTAGACAATTACGCCAACATTCAAGCATCAACTAATCATGTCAATCAAATCACAGTGATTATCCGTAATTAACAACTCACACAATCACACAATCATCAACAACAATCATCAAATAAAAGTGATTATCTAGAATTGCACATCAACAGCACAACACAGAGAATCAGAAAACACTAAATTAGGGTTTATAGAGTATACGCTGCGCATTCAATTACGAGAGGGGTTGAACTGAGGGTAGTAGATATGCAAATAGGCGTCAATCACTTCCTCCCTCGACATGTGATAACTTGCTATTTGATACAATTTTAGGGTGTTTTGAACCTAGTTTACTTGATATAAATTGCGTTTTGGTTCATTTTTACTCTATTATTATGCAATTCTTGTGTATCCTATGCTTCACGGGTTGTTGGTGTTTTTGTTGAGATTCTAGGTTCAAAAGAACGACCAAATGGAGCCCATGGATACAAAGCCGAGGTTAGAAGCAAGATGATGGATGAAAGAAGCCAAGGAAAGGAGCATTATAGAAGAAAAGATGAAAAAAAGGGGTTTAGAAGACCCTGCACGGCTGTGCCAGACCTTGCACGTCCGTGCAGGAGATTCCAAAAAGCTTCAGCAATCTGCCAAGGCCTGCACGGCCGTGCTTAATCTGGCACGTCCGTGTAGGAGGTGCACGACCGTGCCAGACTTTGCACGTCCGTGCAGAAGTGCTCCAGAAACTCAGAACATTCTGCCAAGGCCTGCATGGACGTGCCAAATTAAGCATGTCCGTGCAATTGTAGCTGCACGTCCGTGCCAGTATCTGCACGTCCGTGCGGAACTGCTCGATTCTTAGCAGTACGTTCTGCCTCAATTCTGCCCCCTCTGCACGTCCGTGCCAAACTTGGCACGACCGTGCTTAGCCTTGCACGTCCGTGCCAAATCTGGCACGTCCGTGCAGACCTGCAGTCGAACTCCTTCCTTGTTTTCTCCGTCCTTTTTATTTGGGGGTCATATAAATACCCCTTTAGAGCTCATTTGTACGAAGGAGGCAGTTTTTCAGAGCTTTTCTCTTAGTTTGTAGTCTTAGAACATTAAATTCTCAAATCATTAGTTAGTTCTCAATTATTAGCTTGGAATTATTCAAATTCAATCATTGTAGAAGACAAAATCCACCATTGTTGCTCACCTTGAAGCTTCATAGTAACCATTTCTTACTCATCTTTTCTACTTCTCTTTACTTTGTTTTTAATTATTTGCTAGTTCTTGCATGTTTTGGACTGTTAATTAGCTTAATCCTTAGTTTGAATTTGTTCATGAATTGCTTGAAATCTTTAATTGCTTTAACCCCCATGGATTGTGAGTAGTCTAAATTCTAGGGTTTGGGCAAAACCCTCAATGTAGTCACTAATTACTTGTTGCATGTGCTAATTTGGTTGTTGTGAGATGTTAATTAGTTGAGCTTAAGTGGTTTAATTGCTTAGTTCTTGTATATGGCCATTGCTAGAACTATTTATCCAAGCTTTCTCAACGAAGGATCGAGAGATGAACTTGAGTTAGCTCCCTTATGCTTGATTGACCCGAAATGCCATGAGAATAGGGATTACCGGTCAAGGGAATGTTTATGTCATCGTGATTATGCTTTAACACTTGTTTTATGCTATGTAACCACGAGAGTAGGTCGTATTCATGATTCAAGTAATCCCTCTAGCTTGAGAGAGTAGTTGGGTGCTTTAGATGACTTCCCCTAATTTATCCCATTAATTTACCTTGATTGTTGCATGCTAATTGTGATTTGTGATGAAGTTGAGTGGTATAACCCAAGCCCTAGATTCCTCTTAATATTGTTAACCTCCTCTTAGCTTAGTTGAATTGTGTTAGAAGAAGTTACTAAAAACCAACCCAATTTAGAATTCGTTTAGCTTATTTAAACGGTAGTACTCGGTGGTTGATTCAACGCCTCTCTTGGGTTCGACCCTTTCTTACCCTTACTATTGTTAGTGAGACCAAGATAGGAATTATTATCCTTGGTAGGCTCGACGACGGCCTATCAAGTTTTGGCGCCGTTGCCGGGGAGGCAAAGTCACATTGAATGTATTATTGTTGAATGAGACTAGATGTGTGTATATGTATAGTAGTTTTCTTACCTTAATTTTTGTTTATGTGTGTTTAAATTGCGATAGTCATTGCTAACGTTTTTCTTAGCTTTGTTTGACTTTGCATGACACGAAAGAGTAAGCAATCACCGCTTATTCCCGTTGATCCAGAGCTAAATAGGACTTTGAGAAACGTGAGGAGACTCTTGCAAGGCACACCCGAGTTTTCCATTGTATATTCGGATTCCGATCCGGAAGAGGTTTTTGGAACTAACGAAGAAGATAACATGGGAGAGAATCCTCCTCAACCATTGTTAAGAGACTATGACCACCCCAACGCATTCCAACTTCGGAGTGGCATACGTCTTCCCACCACAAATGCAAACAACTTTGAACTTTCACCTCAACTCATCCGTATGATTCAAAGCGATCAATTCGGAGGTAGTCCTCATGAGTGTCCTTTTTCTCATTTGGACAACTTTCTTGAGTTGTGTACAACTATCAAGCAAAACAACATTTCGGAAGAGTTCATCCGTATGCACATGTTTCAATTCTCCCTCCGTGATAAAGCAAAACATTGGTTGAGAACGGTTGAAGAGGGATCATTGAGTACATGGGACGAAGTCACTAGAGCCTTTCTTGGAAAGTATTGTCCTCCGGAAAAGACCGCCGAACTAAGAAGAAAGATCACCAATTTCAATCAAGACATTGATGAAACATTGAGTGAAGCTTGGGAGCGTTTCAAAGATTACACAAGGAAATGCCCCCACCATGATTTTACATCATGGATCATTGTACAAAGCTTCTATGACGGTCTTACTCCTATTTCAAGGGCCAACCTTGATTCCGGGGCCGGTGGTAGCCTCAAAAAGCTATCGGTGGACGATGCATACAAGATGATTGAAGAAGTGGCCAAGCATTATGCATATGGAGGTGATAGAAGGCAACCTCAAACAAAGAAGGGCGGAATTCATGATCTTAGTGCAATAGATCTTATTGCATCAAAGTTTGATATGCTAGCTCACAAGCTAGATCAAGCCACCCTCACACCCTCAAGCTCTTCCTCGCAAGTCATGTCTTGTGAGACTTGTGGAGGAAATGATCACTTGTCCTCTTATTGCAACTCAACGAATCAAGAGCAAGCGGCGACAATTGGGCAAAGGAATGAACAATACTCCCAATCCCACAATCAAAGTTGGAAGCCCCAACATAACACGGGATGGAAGCAATACAACCAAGGCCCCCCACAAAATAACTACAACCAAAATCAAACCCAACCTCAAAACCACTACAACCAACCTCAATCACAAAACCAACAAGCTCCATACCGCCATCCCAACCAAAGGGATCAAAACCACCAAAGATCACAATATAACCAACCCGCTCCTCCTCCTCCACCTCCTCAAAAGACTAGCCTTGAGTCCGTTCTTGAAACTTTCATGACTCAACAAATAAGGAACAATGCGGAGATGAATGCAAACATCCAACAACTCCAAGCACATAATAAGATAATGGAGGGCCAATTGGCTCAAATTGCACAACAAGTTGGAAGTTCATCCTCCAATCCTAGTGGTCACTTTCCAAGCTCAACGGTAGTGAACCCAAAGGAGCAAGATAAGGCTATCACTTTGAGATCGGGAAGGGGTTATGAGGGCCCGGTTATGAGTGAGGAGGAGACACAAAAGAGAGATGAGGGAGTTGTGGTGAGAAGTGAGGATGATTTTGAAAATGAAGTAGTTGAAGTTGAGAGAAAAGAGCAAAAGAGTGATGAGGGAGCCACAAAGAAAGACGAGGGAGATGAAGAAAGAATAGAAAAGCCCCCTATGAGAGTATATAAGCCCCCCATTCCGTTTCCTCATAGAATTGTAGAGAAGAAGTTGAATGAGAAGTTTTCAAAATTTCTTGAAGTCATGAGAGGACTTCAAGTGAACATCCCCTTTCTTCATGCTATGTCACAAATGCCTACCTATGCAAAATTTTTGAAGGATCTTCTATCCAACAAGAGTAGGCTTGAAGAGAGTGCAACCATCTCCCTTCCTAAGGAGGTGAGTGCAATCATCCAAAACAAGCTTCCCCAAAAGCTTGGTGACCCCGGTAGCTATGCAATACCGGTGAAGATTGGAGATTTGGAAGCTATGGATGCTTTATGTGATCTTGGGG